ACTATTAATAGACATTAGAAACTTTTATGTAGCGTTGCATCATTTTTTTTATATTGCGTGTGGCGATTATTTTTCCAAAACAAAAGTGAAAATAATACCACTTTGTCAACTTTTCTTTTATATAACAACATTCGATTAATTTAAAAAAGACAGATTCCTAAGAATTCAATGGGTAGTTGGACGTTTAGGGCCTTGCCTTGATACCAGCAGTATTTTTAGCATAGAATTTGTTCAACATTTTAATACCATCGCCCCGTGAGTAAAATTGGTTATTTAAAGGCATGCGAAACAAATTGTGGAAATTTGCGTCCAGCTGCAAGCAGTTTTTCGAGCAATAGTTTCAAGATCTTTGGAGTAGTAGTCAGTTGCATTTTAAACAGTCAAATTTGATCTTGTTTAACACGTGCACTTATTTTTTAAGGCAATAAATATATTAAATATTTTTTCTAAGGCAATAAATATATTAAAACGGAATATTTATGCTTCTAAGTTTTTTTTTATTCAGTCAATTTTTGACTATCAATTTTTGATTTGACCTCTAACAACTAATGATGATCTGCACTCAAATTTAAGAAATGTTTTACCTGTGGTCATTGTTTGTAATATTACAGGGGTTTAAAAAATGGCAATTTGACTATTCTCTGGTTGTTCTGTCTTTCGATCAAAGTGACGGAATATTCGTATGCGTGGTCTTTTTTTCTCCAGACCAATATCGTTTTTGTTTAATAAACCATTGATTACGGAGTTTTTTATGTCATGTAAGAAAGTTTTGTTGTCCGGAGCTTAAATAAAAAAAATACCTGAGTCAATTTTTTTGAAGTTATTGGTGTTTGAAAATTGCTAAGTTGACCAATTGTGGATGGTTAATGAGCGATATATGCGTTTTTATAACACGCGGAGCCGGCGCATTAAATTGTTTCAATTGGAATTTATGGAAGCTGTTCGGTTATATTTTCAGGATAAGAGACGCTAAATACATCCTTATATACTTTACAGAGCGTGAGAATCATAAACGAAGAAAAAAAAGAACTTTATTCTTTGAGGAACCTAATTTTGCCACATTTTTGACATGAATATGCCGCCAAATTAGTAAACTGAAAGACTCAAAACTCAAAAATCAAAAAGAAATCATTAAAAGAAACAACTAAACTACGATCTGAAATTGGATGCTTAATCATCCAAAACGTATTGCCATTGTCATTGGCGCACAATAAATTTTTAAAAAAAGAAACCAAAACCAAGGTTTCTTTTTTTGTTACAATACAATTGCGAGGGTTCCATGTAATCAAAGGAATTACATATTGGCCATTTTACATTTTGTTTGACACGTCAAAACGTGAATTAACTTTAGGAGACATAGTCAATTAAAAATGAATTCAACCTATGATGCTGTTTTTAAAGTCATAGAAACAGACGTAGAAATTTTAGCAAAAGCAATTAACCAAGCCATAAGCGATTCCGACGAAGTACAGATCATAAACGATTTCTTAACGGAATTTAAGAGCTTGCTTGACGATGCCAATAACGAAGCAGTCAAGATAACACGCACCGGAACGGACCAGCCACACTCAATCATTGAAAGATTGAAAACTTTGAAAGTTTTGTACCGAACGATCCAACTACGATCAAAACGATACGAGCGTACCCTCAACAGCACTGCCACGTTTTCTTTAAACTCATCACGAGTAGCCAGCAACGTCTCGACGCCTTCAATAATACGACAAGCCTTGGAAAATCTTCCCCCTCGACGCCAAACGGAAAATTTAACCCGTAGTACCACTACACAAAACGTCACCATGGACTAGGACACCCCGGACGATTTGCCACAATTTTCTGGATTGCCAGCAATCTTAAACGCTACTTCAAACCACAGATCAAATTCCGCCCAGGAAATTCAGGACTCCTACTTCGCCCCGGATCTAACAGCGACGCCAATACCTTGGATCATCGCATTCATCAACAACAAACAGAAACTCTTGGAACTCAAACTGCCCATGGAACTCACCTCCATCCTCAGTCAAACCTCTCATTGCAGCAGCCGAACGCCGACTTGTCACAAAGTTCAAACCTTCAGCCGAACCACCCAGAAGCTCAACTTCAAGGAACGACTATCGAATTGAACAATGGAACTCAACTCCAAATCAACAATCAGCAATTGACAGCAACAGTGGGACAAAGACCGAACTCAGAAGCTCAACTTCATGAAACGTCACCGCACTCCAACCCTGGAACTCAAATCCAAGTTTTCAATCAGCAGATGAACGCACCAGCAACCCGACAAAGAAAGGTTTCAGCGCCAATATTTCTTCCGACAGCAACTTCAAAAGCAGCTAAGAGTCAAAATGATTGGACAGCAAATCACACACCTAATTCTTGCTCCCCAGACAGCTAGCCCCCCACGTGGACTATACCGGCCTTCAAGCCAACAACAGAACCAGCCTTCAAGCCAACAACAGAACCAGCCTTCGAGCCAACAACAGAGGACACATAATCCGAATAGCGCCTTTAGACCCATCTTGACGATTGGAAATCACTTCGACACCTCACCTTAGGATTCGCATGGATCATTAAACACTCACAGAATCAATCATTTCCCAAGGAAATAGCATGCCTGACAAAGAAATCTGACATTCCACCCCGCAGCCCTCTACAACCTCTTTGCCCCTTCATCGACGATCACGGATACTTACGTGCCAAAGGACGACTACAGAAAGCCCCGCTTCTAATTTGCAGCTGACATCCAGTCATTCTGAACGCAGAAATTTACCCAATACAACTCTTCATGAAGCAAACACACGAAATAAATTCCCATTGTGGAATGGAACACACCCGAAGCATTCTTCAGCAGGACTTTTGGATGATAAGATCACGCAAGCATCTGAAGAAAACCTATTCGACAATGCATACCTTGCCGACGCCTTCGACAGGAACCAGTGAAGCCTCTGATGGCAGATCTACCCCTACAACGACTCCCTTTATCGGAAAACAGTTACCCCTTCTACTCAACAGGAATTGACTTCTTTGGACCCTTTCCCACGCGGAACAACGACGAGTACAGTAAGCGATACGTTCTTTTCTTCACCTGCCTCGTCACGCGAGCAGTTCATTCAGAAATATGCCAGCAAATCGACACAAACTCAACTCTACAAGCCATACGCCGTTTCAACGCTAGACGCGGTAAACCCAGTATCATCTTCTCTGACAACGGAAAAGCCTTCGTTGCAGCTGACAAGGAATTACAGGAAAGCCTTTCTGAGATTCAACACAGCAACGACTTCAACAATCAATGCCAATTACTTGGAATAACCTGGAAGTTCAACCCACCTGCAGCTCCTCACTTTGGTGGATCATTTGGAAAATCTCAAAGTCATTGGAACACGGACACTGGACGACGAAACTCTGTCAACCTTCACGTGCGAGGTTGAAGCTATGATTAATTCTCGCCCGCTAACCCACGTCTCATCAGACCCAACCGACGACGAGCCCCTTACACCCAATCACCTCCTACTAGGACGACCACCAAACAATTTGCCTCCTGGATTGTTTCTCCCTCGCCACACAACGGACAAGAGAACTTGGAAACAAGCTCAAGCCTTCAGTCAACAGTTCTGGAACACATACCTCAAAGACTACTTGCCAACCTTGACGACCCGAACAGAATGGACAAAGCAAGTGGAAAATCTTCAGCAAGGAGACCCTGTATGGATACTGGAAGACCTAACGCCTCGAGGTCTTTGGCCCCTGGGACGGGTACTTCGTACTTTCCCAGGTGCAGACGGAATCGTTCGCTCCTGCGAAATTAAAACTAGCAGGGGGATTCTACACCGACCAGCAGTCAAACTCTCGTGAGTATTGGACCACAGTAACAACTAGATGACCAACATGATCAACGACAGCTAACAACTAGATGACCATTACAATCAACGACGACGTACCATCAGCTTCAACGAACAATTTTCTAATTTGCAACCTTCAAATGGGCCCGGCTATGTCTACGACATTTGAACTTTATTCTTTGCCGAACCTAATTTTGCCACATTTTTGACATGAATATGCCGCCAAATTAGTAAACTGAAAGACTCAAAACTCAAAAATCAAAAAGAAATCATTAAAAGAAACAACTAAACTACGATCTCAAATTGGAATCTTAATCAATCAAAACGTATTGCCATTGTCAGACGCTAAATACATCCTTATATACTTTACAGAGCGTGAGAATCATAAACGAAGAAAAAAAAGAAAAAAAAACTTTTTCTTTTGTGTTTTATCAAACATTCAAGTAAAATTTTTGAACGTCTCTAAATGCAGTCGGATCATTCAGAGCGTTGTCTTGATATACGCGCAACCTCATTATTATTCAATTGAAGCAAAAATTCCTCCAATGTTTTATTTTGTCAAAAAAATTAGTACGCTAAAAATTAGCGGAGAATTGAAAGTTTGTGGTAAAAATATCGAAATTCCTAATGAAGTCCGAAACAATTTGGCATTTTTGAACTCAAAGTTCATATTGGTTTTCCTTTAATACGGGAGCTAATTAGGCGAAAATTGAAATATTTTGCATCAAGTTACTAATACATTGAAGTTGATATCAAATTGCCATATCTTCAAGGAAGGTGACTATTGACCAAAATTTGAACCCGACGAAGCAGTGTAATAAAGGTGGAATAATTGTACTTTGTTCACCAACAATTTTCTAACAAGATTAAAACTGGGAAGATAACGACAAGCTTAATTTCATTTCCAGCCCGTATTCACACCTAGTATATGTAATCGCATTGGCTTATTTTTTGCGCTTTAATTATTGCATATTTGATTATTGCATATTGATTATTAAAAAAAATGATTAGGTAATTAACTTTTTCTTTTTTGTTTTCAAGAGGGTCTGAAAAAACATGTTTAATTATTAAACTTTTTCCTTTGTTTGTTTTCAAGAGGGTACTCATTTTCGCACAAATTGATTTTAATTTTGTTTCCATAGTTGGTCAACTTTGTTTTTTTAGGAGGGGGTGCGGATTACGGCAGTGGGGGTTTGCACAGCAACACTTACCTTGGGGGAGATGCAGTGTCTCGACTGTTGCTGGCCAACTACACCTTTCGGTCACGCCCTGTCGTGAACACTTCCAACCCAATTGTGGTCGAGGTCATGCTCACTGTAATTCAACTCATCACCCTCGTAAGAGAACCAACTAGTCTGAGAGTAAATAAACCAGCCGAAGTAAAACCAATCGAAAATGCTCAGAATTTATAAATTAGCCGGAAAGTTACATCATATGCTAGAATTTGCATAATTTTCCTAACAGTTACATAATTGTTGCATAAAAATTATATAGTTACATAATAGTTACATACAACTGGTAAATAATTACATAACTATTAGATAATACTATTATTTTCGGCTGGTTTATTTTTTTCCAACTAGTTTACATTTGGTACAATCAGTAGTGTGCCAAAGGAATTGGGGATATGCCTTCCCATCAGTTCTGTTGCCAGGTTTTTTGAAGGTTCCCATCTTTTGAACTATTTTTGGATGAACAATCCTAAATTTTCTCTAAAAAAAACCTTATAAAACCTTATTGTGTAGGGGGAACGCGCACCAACATTATGAGGCCAAACTGTGTAAGTTGTAAGCGGCAACAGCCCGAAAACAGATTTGTTGCGGAATCTGCAACATTGCTATTTTCTTTTACTTTCTTAGTTGTTTTTGATTTCGAGAACAAATAGCTAAAACACTTTGTTTGCTCGAAATTGGTAGAAAGTTTGGAAAGTTGCGGAATTCAGAAGACGCAGTGCTGAAGCCGCAACAAACACAAAAATAATATTTGTGCATAAAATTTTAAGATGTCTGATTGCAAGCGGCAAGCGAATTTACGCTGTGGTAATGCAGCAACTGCAAGCGGAATCTACAAACTCTAAGCGAAATCCGCAAATTGTCAGCGGCAACCGCAAAATAAAAGCGGAATTTGCGTAAACTTGCGGAATCCGCCTACACTTTGCCGAATTCGTCTACATTTGTGGAATCCGCATCAACTAGCTATTTTTGCTCGTTTTCGATTCCGCGAGAAAACTAATATGCAAAAAGAATTTACGATACATAAATTTGAGCGCCGAATCCACTGAAATTTTGAATAACGAATTAATTTAAATTTTGGAAAAAGTTCAGAGGACTTTTCGCTAATTACTAGTGACCTACAGAGACACCCAATTGTAAGCCAATCAAATGCGCAATTTGTCCTTGTAATGAAAAAAGCCCTTAAGTTTTCAAAATTTTCTAGAAAAATGTGCTGCATTCTAATTTATGTTTAATTTATTGACTTTAACTTATTTTTATGTAACGGACTTTGTGACATTTAAAATCATATATAATCACCAATAATATCCATTTAAAAGATTTATAATCAAATGTATTCGGATTTTTTCCAAAATATTTAAAGATTTGTTTGTCACAATGATTATAATGAATTATAATATTGCTGTTGATAACAAAATCTTTTCAATTGAATGCAGGTGCTCTTAAGTAACAAGTGTCATTTTTTATTATTTAAAATACCAATTTTTAATTTAGAAACAATTTTAAAGCATTATTCTCAAATTTTTAAGATAAATGCCCTTCAAAATAACTGCTGGGCTATCTAAGTTCGTTTTGATAGAACTTTATCAGCAACGAATAAACATTTTTAACGTAACTTTTGATTGACTTATAAAACAAAAATGGTCTGGGGGTAAAAAAAATTAAGCCCAAATTTTGAAAAAGAAACGGCATCATTTTAATTCTCCTAAAAATTGTTTTCATTTTCATTGCTATTTTCGAAGCTCTTTTTGGCGTTTGATCACTTGCAAACGTACTTTTTTTCTTCAGCGTATTTTTTTCTTCAGCAAAAGCTTGATTTTTTTCTTCAGCAAAAATTGAATAGCCCCGTTTTTTGCATTGCGCATGCCAACCAGCTTCCGCGAATTTCAGAGAGTTTTTTTGTCTAAAAAAGCTTCCAAAGTAGACGCCAGTGGTTCGTTTGTGACCTTCAAAACTGATTTTCTCGCAGACGTATTTTTACCAAGCACCTGATAAACCAAGCTTATGACAACACAATTTTCTATTCTATTGATATTTATTTACTCGTGAAGTTAATTTTGTGATTTTCCTTTTAGTCAATACTAATTGTAATTTGGGAAATTAAATTAGTCCCGGATTTGTTTTTAGCTGAGATTCTAGTCTGCTTAAAGGGAAATCGAATTTTGACTGTAGTTTTGTTTGTCATGCGAGAATTGAAAATTGAAAGTGAGGCAAGTTAAGAAATAATCAGAAACTAAATGTTATCTGAAGGGGGGATCAAAACATATTGAGCAAAACTGGCTTTCAGCGTTTTACACTTTGAAGAAAATGCTTTTTTGAGCCGTTTTAGGATGATTGTGATAAAAAAATAGCGCTTCTCTGGTGCCTACAGAATACTTTTTT